TGGGACGGCGTGGCTGGAGGGTCCGGCGTGGCGGGTGAGGACGTTCGTCGGAGGCGAGGACGGGCGTTGAAGGCTGGCGGAGGGGGGGCGTTTTTAGGACGGCTGACGGGGAGAGAGAATCGGGATAGGGTTGAACTGAAGGACGAATGGCTGGGAAAATTACAATCTCGATTTTTAGTAATTATCCTGCGACGAAAATAAGAGCCCATCGCAGATTATCAAGTCAAAATTTGACCAACTTGAATTTGCGACATGCGAAAATAATCCATCGCTGATTTGCGACGGAAAAATAAGATCCGTTGTAGATTATGCTTTTTTTCAAAGATTATACTTCTGTGGCTGATTCGTTGCAGATCTGCTACGGAAATGAGTCCGTAGCAGAGTTCCGTTGCAGACCAGACAAGTTCTTGTAGTGTATATTAATTAACAATTTTCTCATTATGTGTGCCAACTGAAAAAATCCTTGTGTGGTTTGAAATAAGTTCTTAGAGCATGATACATGCGTGTGGCGAGATTTCTCTTTGACTATGGCCTCTAGAAAAATGAGCATGATACATGTTTCTTTGTCATGCATAATATTCAGGGTCGCCTTGTACTTCTTTTATATGTGGATGATATTGTTGTCACAAGTAGCGCTTCCACTCTCATCACTATTTTTATTAGCGCCATGCAACAAGAGTTTTAGATGAAGGGCCCACTTCACTTCTTTCAAGGGCTTGAGGTCAAACAAACAAAGCACTACTCGGGCTAGTGTGGACATTTGTAAGCCATAGCCAACACCCATTCTTGTTCAGCCATGTGACGACGGCGCTGACACCCTTTTGGGAATCTCATTTTTTGTAGTCTTGTTGGTTCTCTTCAATATCTCACCTACACCACTCTAGATATACAATTTTCCATAAATCATGTTTGTTAGTGTATGCATGTCTCTACTGAATAGGATTTTGAGTCTCTAAAGCAAATCTTGCGCTGCATTAAAGGCACACTTGATCAAGACTTGATGTTTCGCGGAGGTCCTCTAGCGCCATAAGCCTGTTATGACCTGAATAGGCTAATGATATGATCGATGGTCGTTCTATTACTGAGCATCTAGTCACCTTAGTACCTTATCTTATTTCGTAGAGTACAAAGAAACAGAGTCGGGTCTCTAAATCATCCACAGAAGAAAAATATCATGTTTTTTTATCTACAACATCTGAAGTAATGTGGCTCTCATATCTTTTTGACATTTTACAAAATGCGTTACCTCCTCCATGTCTGTTATTTGATAATTAGTTGGCCATTTTCCAGACTAAAAATCTTATTTTTCACAAGTGCATGAAACATGTTGGCACTGACTTTCATTTTGTTTGGGAAAAAGTAGTTGCTCAAATAATGACTACATCTTATGTTTCTTCAGCTGACTAGCTCGTCGATCTTCTCACTATGGCACTGCCATCTCCCTGATACACGGCTCTATTTTCTAAGTTTTCTCTCATATCACGGGGTTCATATTGAGAGAAGATGTTAGACAATAATAGTAGTACTTTTAACTATGGTAGTATTTATATATTAATCAGCTTCTATGATATCTTGAATCCTAACTAACGTCCGGATCTCTTCCTATAAATACAATGATGTATACTCCTTATCTTCTTAAGTTAATACATTATTCCCTTATTCCATTATTGAGCACTTACACTCGCAAAAAATATTAATGTGATCGCAATATAAGCCATCAAAATATGCTAGTCAAACCCTTGGGCCTTAGTGTACATCAAATGCGTACAAGTACCTTTATAAAAAAATCCATTATCAGATAGAGATAATGGATTAACAATTTGTGTGTTGCCATTGAAAAATGTATTAAAAAATTATGCAATAAAAAAGCTAAAATAGGAAAAAAATATAGAGAAATAATTAAATCAAGACTTTATATTTTCATCTTAAAATAGGACTTATAATGTCAATATATAATACAAAAAAAATATTACTCCCTTTGTCATAGTGTATTTGTCCATTTTGACATTTTTTACTCAAACAAGAAGAACTTTGAACTTCAATTAAATAATAGTTGTAGACAAATTCTTACATGATCCTAAGTTCCATACTCATTTTTGGACATCAGTGCATTTTATCATAAAAGAATTAGACCTTTTACCAAAAAAAATTAAATACTCCAATTGCCAGCCCATATAAAAATTGTAATATATTTAACTCTAAAAGTATTTTTATTAGATATATCATGCAGAAAATTTTAAAAATTTTATTTCATTGTATTTGTATGCAATACAAATTGTAGGGGGGGAGGGGAATGAGTCTTAGAACCCCAAGTCAGAACCGAACCATACTCTTTGTGGTGCATTAGGGCCGAGTTGAAATGTTTTCTTTATATATGGGCCGGGCTGGATCAGGGTGGGTCTTTTAGCAAAACAAGTTGGGCTGGTTCTTAATATTTAAAAATAAGTAGACCCGAACTTGCCCATTTCTTATAATTTAATAAAATTATAAATATACAAAGTATTAAATAAATTAAAGTATACTCAATATTGTTTTTTAGTCTTTTTATAAAATTGTATTAATAAATAAATTATATATGGTACATTCAATATTTTATTAATAAAATTATATATATAACATAGTAAGTCAAATTTTTGTCGTTAATTGTATTTTTTTTTTATGTTTTACAACTTAATTGGTGAAAGTCCTTTATTGGTTAAATATTATAATTTATTTTTATTTTGCTTTTGAAAATCATGGATTAGTTTCAAGAAGTGTATTATTCTATTGACTATTTTCATATAAGTTTTTTTTTGTTTGTGATGTCTTACTTCCATCCCTAAGTATTTTTTTAGTTTTGACTTTTTTCAGTCAATCATTTTCAATCTTTGATCCCTAATTAAATAATATATATATTGTATATTAATTAGATAAAATAATATTTTGAAAATATTTCATAGAATAAATCTAATAAATCTATTTTTGTATCCATATCTATCATTTTTATTTAATTTTGGGTAAAAATTTATCAATTTTGACAAAAAAGTCAAAAGTAGACAAATACTCAGGAACAAAGGATGTATTTTAAATTTCTGATTTAATAGAAAAAATAATGGACCAACAGGCCCGCAAAACCAAATCGTTGAAAGAAGTCGAGTTAGGATCGGTTCCAAATAATTTTTTTAACAACCCAGCTTGTCTCGACCCGTTTATTCTGAAAATAAGTCAACCACTTCTATTAAAAATTGACCTAATCCGGTTCGTGCCCACCCCTAACAAATGCAGAGTATTTGAAGCTCAAAATTTATCCAGTTTGATTCTAAAAATTCAAACAGCACAAATAAATTGAAACAGAGGTAATAGAATGTCAATATAGAATATCACATTGTCACAACGCAATAGTCTTATTTTGAAGATAAAAACATGATATGACACTCTTGATTTGGAGAGTGTTAAGGAGTTGCTATAGAGGCTGCTGAAATTACCTCATTATGGCCTTGTTTTGATGTTGGCTATCAGTTGTTGGCTGTTGGCAGTTCGTACCAGCTGTTGCGAATGACTGTTTAGTTTAGCTGGTTTGACTGGCAGAATGAATTGGCTGATCGTTAACAATATTTGGTAAAATTAGCTGTTTGAAAATAGTTTTTCTTATATATATATATATATATATATATATATATATATACACATACATATATATACATATATATATATACATATATATACATATATATATATACATACATATATATATATATATATATATATATATATATCTATATATCTGTGTGTGTGTGTGTAGACACACACACGATATTTATTTTTCATTTTTTTACATGTAAAAATTAAATCATTACCCTATGAAGTATTAAATTTTAATTTCATTTAATTCATAATAAATTATAAATATAAATTTTTTTTAATGATTTTTGCTTTTTTTTTCTCATTTCATTTTTTGAAATTTTTAAATTATAAATTTTATTTTTTTTGTATTTAATTTTTTTAACTTTTATTTTTATTTTTATTTTTTACATATATCATAAAATATCTTTCAAAAAAATGATTTTAAAATTTTTTTTTCCTAACCGCCAATTCCAAATGTTACTCCCCTTGGCATTTCAGATTTGTATTTTTCATATCAAAATACCAAGTGAAAAAGTCATTAGCCAAACAATGGTTTTGGCGGTTTGCTTGATCAAAAAAAGACAAAGTCAGTCAAAGATGCCAAAAACTATCCCAAATGCTGTTATCCAAACATGGCCTATGACTGGTTGGCCGGAAGGCTAATAAAGGGTGGGGGAGCGGCGGCTGGAGATTAAGTGCAATGAGGCAAAAGTTGTATTCATCTGGGCGGAAAGTGAGTTTGAGCTAGATGATATCGGAGACCTTGTATATCCCAACACCAGTTTTCGACAACTCGTCACCCCCCGAGTTTGATTTCTTGGAGAAGGATGATCAACCCATATGCATTGTTCAGGTATGACTAGAGTGAGCAAGTTAATTATTTGTAATTTAATTTATTCAAATATTAATGTAGGTCTTTAAATATTTTTGAAAGTGCTCCCCAAGTGTTTAAATTAATTCAAATGCAGTGTTTAAATTAATTCAAATGTTTGCCAAGTCCCTATACTTTTTAATTGGTGCATCAGTACTATCTACTTTTTCAGACCAAGTCTCCAAATTGAAACGGCGAAATTCACGCACATTCAAAAAAACAATACGAAGTATGGTAGTAAAATCAAGTTCCAATATACGAGTACCTCCAGAGTGTTAAGAAGCAAGAAATGGATACCTACTTTTTCACGCCCCAACAAAGTCATTTGATATACTCCTTTCATTTCATATTAATTATATTTTTTAGATACATCAAAAAATGAAAGAATTAAACAGATTTTATGTCTACATTCATTCATTTTTCAATGTATCTAAAAAGTCATAATAGACAGTTAATATGAAATGGAGAAGTATAAGATATGGTATGGAGTGCTTGGTATAAAACAACATACCACAATGCGCTGCATGGGAGATTAGTTTGGTTATTGTAAGGTCAAGCTTCTTCTAATTTGAAGGACCACTGTTTTCCATTTTTGTCCTCCGCACATCTTTTTACACAACTAATACGAAAACACAAAGGCTAAAGCAGCCTATAAATGTGTCCATAATTCCCAGTTGATAGATGCACATTGCGCACATTATAGACTAACGGCCTAACGTATGATGGGTAGAAAGCACATTAGTAGAGAGCTCACTAATCCGCGGCGAACAAAAACATGGAGATCAGCTTACCTTATTCTGCCATTTCTCGTCACACTGAAACGGTCATTTGATCAGAGCCTATTCTCAAGAAATATCTAGATAAAAGCACAACCTCATCATTTTCTTTGGTATGTACCTCCTTCCTACAGGAAACATTTTCAAGCAGCACACAGGACCAAAGTTAAAAACCAATGCAAGATATAAACAAATTTTGAAGTGATTACAGGAAGATATTGTGGGGTTATCAAACCAAGTCTCACATTTGAAATGTTTATATATGTGTCAACCTAACAACATTAGTCACAGGTCTTCTGGAAGGTGGCCAAAAGTAAATTCCCCGTACTTGGCCCAAAGCAGACACTATGATGCTTATGTGAGTTTATATGACATTTGACGGTTTTAATAGATCAAATGTCAAATGATGCCTCATAAAAAGGGGTTTAAAAGTCTTATTTGCATCAAATATAGGCTAGTAATGTGACTAAACTCTATAAATATTACGGAACCACTTCCAATAACAATAAGAGACTACTATACTAATTAGTAGGAAAATACCTTATTGAGTTATTGGCTCATACAAAGTCGTATTACTAAGAATGCCCGTGACTATTGATACGGCTGGAAGAAGACTTTCAACATTAAAATATTAGGTAACTCGTTACTGATTTTGTAACATAAAATTCCACAAGGGATCCCAGAGGTCAATTTGAAACCTTCGAGTAAACTCGGTTTATGAGCAAGCTAACACACAAGAGGTCAATTGTTACAGATACTCCCCTTAAAAGCTCAATGACCTAGGGATAGTCCAGCTATGTCAATAGTCAATATCCTGTACCTGTTATCATGGCACAGGTAGGTTTCACCCCGGCTAGTCGACTAAGGACTTCTCCATGATTAAATTGACATGAAAACCGGCCTCCTACATTCCAAAAATTTAGAGGAAATGGGGATCCACAATGATTAGGAAGCCAACCCTAGTTCCAAGACAAATTGACTGGGAAGTGGAACCGACTTCTGCAAGAGAGAGCTCGCATGGATGATTTGGTCTCCCCACCTGTCTGTAAGGACCTAAGGCTGAGAGAGTAGTTCGGGGTGGAAATCCTAAGTTGCAATCTCCCCAAGTGGATTCCAAACAAATGTATAGGATATTTTTCAACACCGTTTTAAACTTCTTATTCTCACAAGGGATCATAGATGAATCTTCGAGCATGGGTGTTCTCCAACAAAATGGAGGAGTTGAGCGAAAAAATTGTCACCTAATTAATGCATCCTGAACTATCCTTCAACTTCCTACATTAGAACGTCCCAAGAGATGCTGGGGAGACGCAATACTTCATTCTATATTCTTATTAGCTGTCACCCTTTGACATCACCTGAACTATGCTCTAACGTTTGAAAATAATTTACTGTATATAAAATTAAGTAGGTTTGTCCAAAAAGAGTGTGACCCGCAGGCAGCGAGTCCTAGAACCAAGCAGGTAGATTGACATCACTTATTTAAATATATATTGTACGAAGTATTGTTAGTAAAAAGTTGAATGCACCGATTAAATTCTGACACTAATTATCAGTAGTCAATCATATTTCCACTATCATAATTCCACGAAAAATGCTGCAAATTAACTAAAACTAATAAACCATGGTTTTCGGGAATTCTAAGGTCTTACCAAGGAGGGTAAATGCGGATGAGGTCCCCTTTATCAAACTCAACATCAGTACATATTCTTGAATTAAATATAACAGTCATAGTACTTCCTCCATTAGTCTTTTTCAAATAGGGATGATGCAGCCGGTCAAAACTCTGCAAAAGTATTTGGAATAGTTCTTCACCAATTATAAATGATAGAAGAAATAGCCTAATGGATATTCTTTTTTCTGTATTATTTAGCAAAGTTTCCATCAAGATTAGTCAAGTCAAATACGAATCTACATTGGCTTATTTGGCTATCATTTTCTTTCCAAAAAATATCACATATTAATGGTGACTTAATTATTTACTGGTAGTCATACATCCATACGTGATGCACAGGAGTTTTCCCACTTTAGAACACTTCATACCTCTTCTCCTTTTATTAAAATACATTGACAAATGGTCATCTTTGCCTCCAAAGAGCTTGACAAAATCCTCACATCAATACAGGTTTTATCACCTGAAGATAAGAATAGTTCTATTGACAAAAAAACAAAAACAACAACCTAGTTGGACCCTACACAAGTAGGGTGTAGGGGGAGGGTGTGTGTACGCAGACCTTCCCCCTACTCGAAAGTAGAGAGACTGTTTACAAGAAACCCCCAGCTCAAGCTGCATAGATAAAAAGATCACAGGGGATACATAAAGCAAAGTTAACAAATGAAAAGATACAGACACATGATTCATAAAAGTAGGAACGCATAAATAGAGATAAACTTTTAATGCATTGCATTTACCATCCAGAACAGTGTCTTTCGACATGTGGTTCATGAAAATTTGATCACTTTCCTTCTCACTCAGTATGACACGTTGCAAGTTAACAAATAACCCACTACTGCATCGGAAAAAGAAACCCCATTCAAATGTCAAATAGCTTACACGAGAGTTGATGCCTTGGTGCCATGAAACCTATACATTTCAATGTTGGCTTTAGATAAAGCACTCACCAGTGGAGCTCAGGAGCTGAAAAAAGCGATATTCCGCCATTTCTAGTTGCACTTCCTAGAGCTTCATCAAATTGGTCTGCAATGGTTTTCTTAGGGACAAAAGCTTTTAAAACTTGAGGGGTTTCCTGAAAAGACAGAAGGAAGATATTTATCTGTAGTACTTATCTCTATCACTTTACATAATTTCCATGAGGAAACTACTTTAGACGGCACCTTACCTCACCATCACTCGATGGTATATTATCATCAATTGCAATCCCTTCACCCAATGTTGATACAATTCTCCTTGAAAAGTTTTTAACCCCTGTTTCATTTATATTATTTAGCTGGAGAAATCCAAAAGTAATGATATTACTAAAACCAAACAGTATATATATACATGAGAAAATATAAATTAAGCTTCAAGCTGACCTTCATAGGATTCCCCAACTGCAAACGCTTCTTCTCCTGAAAACAATCCAGAAGCTCAGCCATTGAACGCTCACTAGATTTGAGTTCAGTTGCTAAGTCAGATCGTGCCATATCATTCCCTGTCAGTTCTATTTTATTTTCTTGCACATTAAACAAAGAATCCCCCAAAATAGTTTTCTCAATCATATGCGGATCTGTGCGTAATTTTTCATTTAATGGAAACTGAGACGAAATGCTGCATTTACTGGATTCACCCCCAACAACAGAATGAATAGCTCCCCTTTCTCTGTCAAAATGTAATAAACATCGGTGCTTGACTGTCCGTTGTCTTCCTGCGTCATTGGATCACCGATTGTAAAAATCAGCTAATATGGTGTTGAAAGGAGGAAGAAATATATGTTACATGAAAGAGAGAAAGAGCATTTAGTATAATATTTTCAAAATACATTTGTAGCATATACATACATGGATTTTATGTAATACTCGTATGCCATAAAACAAATAAGAAAAATATATCTTGTAACAAATGCCTTTTTTTCTAATTAGGGACCTTTGCATTCACGGCCAAAAGGAGCTTTACAAAAGGTTTGAAAATACAAAAGCAGGGTGTTGCATACCATCCATGAATCAACCTAACCTATCATGTCAACAAAATTCTCTACCTTCATCTGTAACTTTACATTTAAGTTACAGTGGCACCCACATGGTGTGCAAACATTCCAATGAACAAAAAAAACTCTCTTTCTGTTTCAAAAGCCTTTGTTGTACTTAAAAACTATAATCAAGCAAAACTACATATTCATGTAATTTACCAAAAAAAGAAACACAGATAAGATAAAATAGATATGATAAATTTATTTAAATCAACAAATAAATTTTTTAAATTAAGTCAGATTAATGACTTGTAAGAGAAGGTAGACAATTTGGTAAAGAGTGGAAGAATGTATATCAATAGCTCTAAGAGTCCAAGCTTGTTACAAATGCACTGGATCTAAAATCCTATTGAAAGATTTGGTAAAGATATATGTCAGTGGGGTATTTGAGCCAAAAAAAAAATGATGTGATCATTTCTCCAGAGGCAACCTTTTTTGAACAGATAATCAAAGTCAATATGCCCCGTCATCTCATGGAAGACAAGGACATATGAAAGATGTAAAGCTTGCTTTACAGTCTTTTTGTCATAAATGGACTTCACTGGTCATGTAGAACAAAGCATATACACAATAAATTACATAGCATACATACTGGAGCACCTAACATGCAACTAGCCTTCAGCATCATGCACCCAACAACCAACTTTCAAGTTTCAACGTATAACCAACCTTCAACTAACATTTAACAAATAACTAACTTGCAACTAACTTTCAACATATAACCAACCTTCGACTACTCTTTAACAAATAACAAACCTGCATCTAAATTTTACCGTATAGCTAACCTAAAACTAACTTTCAGCAGTCAACACAAGGCTACACAAAGACATGCCGATGTTTCTCTTGAATCTCATGGTTACCGAGAAAAGACTAAAAGCTGAAATAGACTTTTATTCTATGTTTACTTCAAGGAGTGGGAGTGACTCCATGGGTCTCAAAATTTTGAAATGACTCACTATTTAGTTTACTTCCAAATTTTAAAACGATAATGAGGGACTCTCATCACACACCTTTTTCTGGGCTCACAAAAAATCAAGTATGAAAAAAATCTATATGCCCTTTGTGCCAAAATAAGCTTCATGGTTTGACTCCACAAAGTTTAATAAAAGTGTTGAAAAGTGAAAAGTCTATGGTTAGATTTTGCATAGAAGAAAGAGAAATGATGTTAGCCACACATCCCTTAGAAGTGATATAAAGTGTAAAATTTATTTTGGGATGGACAAAAAAGGAAAGTGTGAAATCTATTTTGGGACGGAGGGAGTATAAACTTTTTTAAAGTAACACATACAAAATTATAATTATAATAATAGCTCAACGTAATATACTGTGATCCAACACAGCATAATGCCACAGAACATAAAAATATGATACCAGTGCACAACAATTCACCTGCATTTACTAATACAAATGCACCCTAGCTTGAAAAACTCACCCAAAAGTGATATAGTTCTACCATCAAATTCTCTTCATAACCTCTTTCTTATAAGAGCATACTTATAAAATTGAAAATATCTTCAGAAAGACCAAATTCATTACATCAAGAAGCACATGACTAATGACCAATCCGTGAAATTGGAAACTTTTCTTTACAAAGACATTGAGTGGATCATAAAGCTCAATTGTTTTTATACGGAAAACTCAATAAATTAAAACATGTTCAACAAGCATAAAAACTAGTACCATTAGCTGGATTGATAGGATCCGATGAGATACCACACACTAATGAGCAGCCAAAATTTTCATCGTTGAAATAGAATGCCTCAGAATGTTTGTTTCCTCTTGAGAGTGTGCTCTCCCTCTCACATTTAAGACTTCCAACATTTAGCTTCTGCAGATGTTTGAGCATCAAAGAGAATATATCAAATTATCATAGTACTAGATACTTGAGGCAAGTAGTGGTGTTCTCTTTCATACCTCATCATCAGAAATAATCTCCTCATCAGAATTGCATATACAATCCAAAACAGGAAAGAACCCAATTTCCTTGTCTGAATTGCAAGCAGAAGCCACACTGACATGGTTTTCATTGTTGAAAACAGGAAGCTCGACATCATCATCAATGCACAGTTTATTTTGCCTCTGAAATAACAAATACATATTCAGGCCATTGCATTGTGGTAGTAGCAAATATTCAAATGAGAATGGAGCCAAAATTTCACCATTTTTTGGCTTTGGGGTGTGATGGAATAAATCAAAATGGATCTCTAAACTGTCTGCGCTTCTTTAATTAATGAAGTAGCAGTTAGTCAAGCAATGCAACTTTCGGCGTTGAGCAGGGGGTCTCTTTGGAAACAGCCTCTCTACTTTCGAGTAGGGGTAAGGTCTGCGTACACACACCCTCCCCAGACCCTACTTTTGTGGGATTTAACTGGGTTGTTGTTGTTGTTGTTGTTGCATTGTGGCTGAAAATATTCATCCAAACTTTTATGATTCGGTATCTTTGCATTTTCCTTCCAATAACCAAACAAGTGATAGCAGTCACATTATTTGTGTACGAACTAATCTATCAAAATAATACTCCGTACGTATGTTGTGACTGAGTAGAGAGAGAGAGAGAGAGACCAGATACGATCGATTCAGTTATGAACTTTGAATATTTCATTTTTTAATGCCGACCTTCCCCTTCCCGGATCGTATCGCACTGACGATCCGGCAATTCTACGAGTGGCTCTCTGATCCCAACGATTTTGGGAAATTCCGATTTTATTAGGGATCTGGATCGATGCTATGATCCTGATTCGTACAATCATGCGATCTTACGAGTTCACTCAAGATTTTAACAACCTTGGTTCTACAGTTACACTCTTATACCAGCATTTCCAATACACACAATTATGTTAAGTTTGCTAATCAAGGCCCTAGTCCAGGGGCGAATAGAAAACAAAGAATGCACATTGTAGGTTTTTCTTGCCCGTGGATGGAAGAGAAGTAGAGAACGAATAGTCCGTGACTTGTTTTTAAAAACTAGGTTTCTTCAAGATACTTTTCACTAACAATCTGCAGACAATAAATAGGTAAAGCCTGAAAGAAGAACAGTCCCTCCTTAACCACACTAGTGATCCAAATCATATTAGCTTCACCTCTAAATTGCTTCCAAAGAAATAACAACAGCAAAACCCAGTATAATCCCTGATGGATACCCTGGACATGGGGTATCCAGTCTTTGTACAATATTAGTCGGGACGTTCCAATCTGTTGGACGAGCCCGTTTGCCGTGTATTAATTACTTATTTTAGGGGCGGCCCAGTCTGTTGGGCCGGCCCATTAGCTTGTATATGGACTCAAACCCTAACCCTAGCTCTCCTTATTTATACCCTCTTCCTGGAAGAGGAAGGGGGGAGTGCACTTCATGAGTCGGCAGTGCACTTCATGCTGATTGCTACTACTTCTTTCCCATTGCTGCTCCAGACAACGAGTCGGCGGTGCACCTCATACTCATTGGTGCAGACCCTTTCACTTTGACACTCTAGACGGCGAGTTGGGCAGCGCACTTGATACTGATTGGTGCAATTTCTTTACAGCAAGGTTGCATTACATTTCACGTTGATGGCGTTCTTTGCCTTACTCTGGACAGCGAGTTGGCATTACATCTCAGGCTGGTGGCGTTGTTTACCTTACTTCACTGACAGCGAGCTGGCGGTGCACTCTAGACAACAAGGAAGACGGTGTCCGTCCGTGGTGGATTATTGTTCTACTTCCACTTCACCTCGAGTTCCTCTCGGCTTGGGAAGTGGGGGACTCATGATGATACCCTGGACATGGGGTATCCGGTCTTTATATAATATTAGTCGGGGCGGTCCAGTCTGTTGGACCAACCCGTTAGTCGTTTATTAATTACTTATTTAGGGGTGGCCTCCCCTTATTTATACCCTCTTCTTGGAAGAGGAAAAGGAGGAGAAGGAGGCTACACTATTCATCATCTTCTTCATCTAATCCACACATTTTCTCCTTTTCCTCTAGCTATGGATTCCATAATCCAACAATCCCAACTGTGAAATAGTTGTTCCTCTAGCTATGGATTCCATAATCCAACAATCCTCTAGCTATCACTTCAACTTTTACCCTTTAGTGTCTCGAGCTGTGAAAATATGCAACTATATGCTCCAGTATAAGAACAACTCTAAAGAGGACAAGGCTGAAGGAAATAGACTTCCAGTTGTGAAAGTATCCCAACAATCCTCGTCCAATTATAGTCTATATCTTCATCTTCTGATTATCAGTAAGAAGGAAAACAAAATAAATTAAATATATTACGGAGTAACAAATAGAAACCGCCAGGTCTAAATGTTGCGCTGTTCTTCATCAAACTAAATCTTACCGGAAATGCTTTGATCAGAATCTTCGTTTCCCTACAGAAACATTGAAGTTCAATTTTTTTTCTATTAAGTAAACTTCCACGATCTATTATCTGGAGAAAAGCTATAGACAAAATAATGGGGGATAGATGATGCTTATACCTTAGGCAACATCGTTGCTCGCCGTGAGCCGCCTCCTTTCAGTGCCGACTGCCGAGCAACCGAAGCCGGAAGTGATTTGGTAAATTGTGATTGATGATGCATATCCCTCCGAGTATCCAACACATCATTCAAAGTGGCTACCTCTGGGTGTTCATCGACTTCATTCGGATATTCCAATCATATTTTAAAAGGCATGAAACTGCTATTGGGTACCCCATATTTTGAGAAACTAACTGTCGGGTACCTCATATTTTCAAAATATACTCTGAGGTACCTTCTATTTTGAGAAACTAACTATCGGGTACCTCACATTTTTAAAATATACTCTGAGGTACCCTCTATTTTGAGAAATTAACTATTGGGTACCTCACATTTTTAAAATATATTCCAGGATACCTCCAAATATACATTAATTTTACGCCATTAATTTTAAGAAATAGGGGTTTGGAATTTTAAAAGTAAAATTAATGCTTTGGAATTCCAAACCCCTATTTCTTAAAATTAATGGCGTAAAATTAATGTATATTTGGAGATATCCTGGAGTATATTTTAAAAATGTGAGGTACCCGATAGTTAGTTTCTCAAAATAGAGGGTACTCGGAGTATATTTTAAAAATGTGAGGTACCCGATAGTTAGTTTCTCAAAATAGAAGGTACCTCGGAGTATATTTTGAAAATATAAGGTACCCGGCAGTTAGTTTCTCAAAATATAGGGTACCCAAGAGCAGTTTTCTATTTTAAAAGGTTCCCGAATTCAAAAGTTGGATTTTGCTTCAAAGTAATTCCACCATTTTAATTTGGGCCATGCTACACTTACACCACAAATTGTACCCCATTTGTACACCGCAGTTATACATAAACATTTTGATGGTTTACACCGATACAAGTGTTGGTGCGTTAACAAAAATTTACACGGACACAAAGTGTCGGTGCATTAACAAAAATTAGTTTTACACCAACACAAAGTGCCGGTGCAAACCTGCGGGGTATAAAGTGGGGTACAAAAGTTGGGGTACAAATAGCTTTATCCTTTTAATTTTTAAATAATTGCCCGTCTTACCTTTTTTTTGTTGAATTGTGCAAAATAAACCGACTCCTCAAATTATTTGTAATAAATATTATTCCCTCCGTCCGATAAGAGTATCTCCAATGGGATGCCCACAATAGATGCTAGGAGAAGAGAGAGTGATGTGTTGATGGATGCTATTATTGTAAGTGGGTGCCCATTAGAGATGTTCAAGGAAGAAAAAGAAAAGGGGATGCTTCACATAGCACCCATGCTTGAGGAGGGAGGATTTAATGCATTTATTTCTTTAGTTTTATGGTCCAATGAGTAAGTGCCATGTGTCACATATATATATTCAATTCTTTTTTATGGCAATTTTTTTTAAATAGCTCTCTTTTTTAATACTTTTCTTCAATAGATATTTTTTTGAAATTCCAATAAATATTTTAAGCAAATATTTTCTTTACAAATAGCTGCAAATTAGGATTTTTTTCAAAAAAAAAAAGAGGATTTGTATCCAAATAGTTATTCATGTAAGGGGAAAACTCCTTCATTGAGTTACTATTTTTTTTTAATAAACATTTTTTAATAAAGATTTATGGAATTATTTCTATCACCAGGACACCACCACTCCCAACTAGTTGCAATTGAGGTGACAAGAAGCTAGTTTTAAAATATAAAGAGTAGTTTTTTCAATGTAACATTGTGAGGTTTTATTTTCAAGTTTCGTATAATTAATACTTCGTAATTTATTATAAAACTAAATACTTATAATTAACAAAAAATAAAATTTAAATACCCCTCCGTCCTGAAATTAATTTCTCATTTGCTTTTTCACGGTCTCCAATGCGATACTTTGACCATTAATATCTCAATTTTTATATAAATATATTGGATAAAAATTATATATTTCAAAACTATATTTCAAAAAGAATCTATTGCTAATAAATTTAAATGAAAACTCAATATATTTTTTCTGTAATATACGGTCAAAGTTTAAAAAGTTTGATTGTAAAAGTTAAACTGGGAAATTAATTTTAGGACGGAGGAAGTATATTTTAGTGGACCCATTATATTAATGGAATAGATTTTTAGGCATCCAAATGAGATGCTACTATTAAAAGAATGGAATGTTGAGAGAGATGCTAGAATGACAACTTTATAGTGGAGCCCACACTTGGGCATCCAATAAGAGATGTTGCCATTGTGGATGCTCTAATAAACTTCTTACTTTGACTTTTTCTCATTTTTAGTGAGGACTGATTTTAAGAAGAAAATGTCCAAAATACCCTTGTAACCCTCACTGCCCTAACCCCTTACTGCCCTAGAACCCCTGGAGGCTGGAGCACCCACCCCCACCTCAGTTCCCACCATCGCCCACCCACCGCCNTGTCCCCTCATCACCATCAGCCATACAATCGTCCCCACCCACCACCATCGCCATCTCTAGGAGAAAGAGAAAAAAGAAGGGGGAGAAAGATGAGAAGAAAATTAAGCACAGATCTAACACAGATTTACCATAGATCCACCGCCAACTCAACTCCCACCACCGATGTTTAGTTTATCATCGTCATGTAGTTCATTCATGTCACCTCATCCTCATAGATGTAGCACAGATATAAAAGAAAAAGAAGAAGAAGAAGGGGGAGAAAGAAAAGAAGGCATATGAAAAGAAAGGGGGGTGGGGGAGAAAGAAGATGAGAATGAGAAAGAAAAAGAAAAAGAAGTGAAGAAGAAGAAGAATCGAAGAGGAGGAGAAGAAGAATCCGCAGAGGAGAAGAAAATCGGCAGAGAAGGAGGAGAAGAAGAAGAGGGGAGTTGGGGAAGTGAGATAGAGATATGGGCTTTGGTCGAGAAAAAGGGGAGAGAAAGCAAAAAAAGAAAAAGAGATTTAACAAGAGGGGTAGTTTAGGAAGAATTGGGATGAAAAGGTAGAATAGGAAGATTTTTTCGGATGGGAAAAAAGGTAGAGTAGGAAGATTATTCTTGGACGGATGGATTACTTTTTAGCCTTGTTGAGTCTTTTGTTATTGAAGTGAAGAAATAAAAATGAGTGAATTCTTTAACTTTTTTGGACAAAATTCACATTTTTATTAATCACTAAATATAATTCAGCAGACACAACCAACCAATTGGATCTATAAAAGAAGAACTCACATAGAAGTCAGTATTCTTGAGTATTGCTTCTTTTGTAATGATCATGTTGTGCAATTTACCATTTCTCATCTTTCATACGGAGTATGTTATAGCAAAAAGCTGCCTAGACTGCTGATGTTAGCTTCTTCTTCCTTCACGGACTGCATGTCATGATTTGTTCTTCCATCGACTCCAGTGAGTTCCCTCTGTAAGGTATGTTTGGTTGGAGGTAGGTAAAAATTTTACTATTAGTTAGGTAATGGTAGGTAATTGCAACTAATCAAAATTTAGTAACATCATCTTATAAATGCAACTAATCAAAATTTAGTTGTCATACATTTCATAATAAAAACATAAGAAAACCTCCTAAATAGGAGTAAAACATATATCATATCATCAAAATAGGAGTTCAAAGTTAAACTCCTCTAAATAGGAGTGATTAATCAAGTAATAAGTGATGTTATCCAAAGTCCTACCTGCACCATATTCAATCAATTTTTCTTGACCGCACAAAAAGAGAAAAATGGTCTCTTCCTTTTATCTCTGCTTAGCTTCTTCTCTGCACCATCGCACCCACTGCCCTAGCTACCACCGTTGTCGACCCTCTGTCACGATTACCGCCTCCTCCTTCCGCCATCTCCCCTCCCCCTCGTTGCCCTTCCTTTTCCAATCGCATATAACTTTTGGATTGGGTTTCTTGTTTGGGGCTTTATTATTGCTAAAGAAGCTCTGGCTATCAGTTTCCTCTGCGTTTCTCAATTAATCTATGTATGCCAAAATCTCTCATCTTGTTCGGTCCAGCGGAGAAACGCCTCTTTTCTCCCGACTGTTTTGATGCGTTTGAGGCCCAAAAGGTATTCGACGAAATCCCCCTTCCAAAAACCCTTCTTTTTTCTTTATGATTTTTTACCTTTTTTGGACTCTAATTATTGATAGCGAGTGTTATATGCAGTGCATCATCTGTTAGTTGTGTGTTGTTTTGTGTATGTTTTTATGTTTTAGCTATAAATTTAGCAAATCAAAAATACTTCTTTGTCCCCCTACAATGACTTATTTTTTTAATTTTTGATTATTGATTTGGAATGCGCATATCGATTAAAAAAAGCTTTTAGACTATGGGCTATTTATCTTTGTGTGACACTGTCAATTTGCATCTAAAACATTACATATGGGAATTTGTGACATTATGCATTATCATTTGTGACACTATGTAGTGTAATGTTTGACATTATGTTTTTTAACATTGTATTTGGTAGCTAATTTGTCACTGTGATATCAACAATGCAAATTGTGGTTATGGTGTTGGAGACAGTGGTAGAGAGGCAAGAGAGCCGTGATGTCGGCAGTGAAGGCGAAAAATCAACGACGAGAATGGTGGATTTTGGTATAAAAAAAACTTTTGATTCCATTCCCAAATTAGAATATGAAACAAGAGGCCCATCATTCCTTGTGCGACCCGAATACTACTTAATTCCACAAACTTTTTCTCTATGCAGGCTAACAAAGGCTTCTCTCAAAAGAAAGAAAATCCCAAAAAGGCGAAAAGCATCGGTTGGAACTTGAAAATTATGCAAAGATGACAAAGTAAGGCATCAAAATAGTCTGATGCTAACTAGGGGTGTATACGAATCGAATCGAAGCAAATATATCACTATTCGATTCGTATTCGATTAAAGTGATATGTATTCGAATTCGGATTCGTATATAATTTGAATTTTAAAAAACATTCGTATTCGATTCGATAGATATTTGACGTATTTGAATTCGTATTCGAATATTCGAATTCGAAAATATTAGTAATTTTTTTTTCTTAAAACAGATTTATTAAAGACATTAAATTATTATTTTATAATAATGTAAAATGTAGTAAAAATATGTTAGAATATATAGAAATTTATTTATAAATTATAATATTCGAATATATATAAATTTATATGTACACAAAAATTTAATATATTAAAATATGTTATAATATGTACACAAATATTTAATATATTAG